CTTCCCTAATCATAAGAACCTGCAGCAGCTGTTAATTTAATCTGATGAAAACGTGTGGACAACAGCTAAAAGTACAGTAATACCTACAAAGCTTCGTGAGGTCTCTTGTCAGGGTCCTTGGTCAGTTTTAAGTTCTTTGTAGCATGAGTAAGTAAGTGAAAACAGATAACATAATGAATTTCCTGTTTATCAAGGGGAACACTATGTGATTGGTTCACGTTTTAAGTTGTGTGCGCTGTTTCCATGACGATGCAACTTGAGCTATCAAAAAAGATGCTGTATACTTTAAATAGTTCAGATTAATATCATGTCACGTCACAGGTAGCCCAAGCTCGGGAAAGGTTGCAGAGATTTGCGACCTTTGACTCGCTCTCTGAGAAAAGGTGCCTATATCTACTGTTTAAATACTAAAATACGTTTAACAATGCTATGATTACGTGGTTTTGAACTATATTCTGGTTGGGTGCCCCTAACCTTTATATAGAGAGATTACCGTTTGCATAAAACCCATACAACGGCCATAAATCGGCCCGTGGAACACATAGGAGAGACGTAACACACATTTTAAGTAAGGTAAGCTGTTTTTATTGAAATCCTTTCATTTTCGTAGGTTACAGAAACGATAGGTTTTTTTCCCCATAGAAATCTTTATATTTTGAATGTTACGCAACAATGCCGATGCTCGCCGATGGTCATATTTCGAGCTTGGGCTACCTGTGGTCACGTCGGGTCATTGCTCTATCAAGTTAATACGCTGGTACGAAAGCACTCAACCAGACCATTTTCAAGGAACTCGGAACCTGCAAAATGACTTGAAGTAGCCTGCGTAGCAGGTTCCGGATTTTTAGGGCCAATTGAGACATTTCGAGGACGCGCGCGCCAAAAACCTAACTGAAGCCTGCTACGCAAACTAGACTTGAAGTACTGTATCTTATGCATCAGTTGACTTTAATTAATATTCTGTTTAGTCTTTATGCTAAACAGTTGCCGAATAAGAGACTCCACACTGGGGTCTTGCAAAAAAACTGTAATACTTGCGTCACGCTAAGTTTACATTTACTTCCTTCTCTTTTAACGCTGTCCTTTTCCTCGTGTCTTATAAATAAACCTTTTTTCCTTCAGGCATCTTTTAATTGGTGTCTATGTTAACACCTTTTCACATTTTCTGATTATTGAAAAAGTCAACAGCTCTGTGGAAATTTCTTTGAGTTTTTCATTTCCCAGACATTTGAAAACTACGGCCGTGATGAAGAGCCGGTACCAGGGCGGGAGGATAATAGATCGAAGAGAAGGCGGAACATGGAAAGGGTGGAAAGGGAAGGAAGGTGGGGGAAGAGTAAGAGAACCTGAAGTTCAAATCTTGGTGCATTTTTCCACTTTAAAGGGACTGGTTCACGATAATGCGCATGTGTGAGTTCTGACAGTAGCTGATTGTTTCTCAACCGATCGGAAGCGAGTTAGATGCATGCAAGTAAATTTACAAAATTCAATTAATTGTTCGCGACGCGAGAGTATTTGCGGGCATTTGGTTTGATTTTATTTATCCCCATAATTCAAGTTATTCTTTGCTACTCCTCAGATATATGTTGCAGCCGATAAGAATAAGATTTACAGCCCTGTCCTGCTTTGAAACAAGCATTTACCAACGTGTATTTTTACGAGGTCGTACCCACGCCAACAAAGCAGTCACCGATCGGCAAACAAAATTTGTAAACAAACATCTTATTACTGTTCTCTCAGTTCGCCTTATATAAATCCAGAAATACCTACAAATAGCACCTGACCGGTGACAAAAACGCACAACGTATGAGTATAAAGATTATCCTTAACTGAGCATAAATTTCAAATGCTTATCAGCAAATGAACAAATTCATTCGCGTTGCATCGGGTCAGTGTTCCGCAAAACAAATGTTATCGAGTAGCACACATAAAGAAACTAGATTATAAACAGAATATTCAGGCAATAATTTATTTTAAAAACATCAATTCTTAAAGTATTAAGTGTCAAAAGGTCCACAAAGCGGTAAAAAATACAACAAAATTCACGAGTATCAAATCTGTTCCGTTTTCTGCTGTGAATTTTATGCAGCGATTTATGCGATTTAACGAATTAACAATTTTTAATCCAACGATACCCGCCTGAGACTGTGTTAGTTTAAGAGTCCATAGAACTTCTCAGAAGATTCCTCGGAAAGACCTCCAGAAGGAAATGAACGAAGAATTTGAAATTATAACTGTAACAATTTCACTTGCCGCCACGGCAAAACGAAAACAACTGTCGAACTGCCACAGGCAAACCAGCTTTCAGTGCAGTCATGCAAGGCATGTCACGTCACGTAATTCTACCCCGCGCATTTGGGAAGGAGGGGAGAAATTCTTCCATGGTGTGTGCTAAAACATTTATGAAATAAAACTAGCTTTGGCCTGTATCTTTTGTAACTAGTTAAAGAAAAGAATAACTTTTTCCCCTGTTTTTGCTCGAGGGGCGCTGTGCACTTCTTTTATTTTAGCTGCTGTTTATAATCAGATTGTGTTTCAAGTTCAGAATGTGCATCTATAGCTAGCAATCGGGTGTGTTCGAACTACCATGAACTACAGAATGCTTTAGAAAGGATGTCAAAGGGCACCAAGGTAGTGGCGGATCCAGTGGGAGGGCCCGGGGGGTCCGGATCCCCCATCAGACCTGATACTTGTTTGAGACTAAAATCCTTACAACGATAGTATTGTATATCACTGTTTAACTGGCTGACTTTTTTAATGAAACGCGTGTTGTATTTTGCCACCAAACTAGTTTCCAGGGATATTCAAGAATGTGATTTTCTTTGGGTACCCTCCTATGATCTGTTCGCCTCTGCTTGCAAAGCAGTATTTCCCGCGCCAACGGCGACTGCTTTTCACAGATTGAGAACAAGTAGTTGTCTCTGTCTTCTCAGTGACTAGTGGGAGGAGGTGTGGGGAAAAAGTAATTTTCCACAAAAAAGTTCAACAGTCCTTTCTGAACCAAAATTTGGACCTTCTCCTACCCCAATGAAAAATTCCTGCATCTCCCCCTGCAAAGATGTTACTCTGAGTTCGGAGGCAATCAAGGCTTATGCTGGCGCGTGCAAGTAAATCAATTTTTTTCGAGTTATATTAGAGGCTCACTTATAGGACGAAAAACAGTATAATTTTTATTTATGTAATATGAAAATTGTGCCTGATCATGTGTATCCTAGAGGAACAAGAGACATATTTGTTGCGAGCCTTTCTAATTATTCGGTTTCCTGTGGTTCGGTGGTTCCTTTTGTTGAAACATCCCAACTAAACGGCCAACAAAAGGGAATGAGCTCTTCGGAAGCCAATGAACTAATGGCCGCATTCGGATCTCAAAAACAGATTTGGATAAGTTGAAAGGACGAAATCGAAGGAACTGATCGGCGAAAAGAGAAAATAAACCCAGTACAAACAAAATTAAGAATATACATGATATCATTTTTTCCGATATTAGTCGGTTTGCAACACAAACCTTTGTCGGGGGCTGATACTGTAGGGTCGTTACCAAAATTGAATTTAAAACTAAAGCACATAATTATAAACATAATTGGTGATTACAAAGGTAGTCTAATAAACCTGAACTGACGCAAGTAAGGAACCAAAAATAACGACCTGGCCCTTGCTGATCAAACGACCGATCATTTTTCCAACGGATACCGTGTGGAACGAAATTTTTGCGGGAGTTTGTTTTTGCGGATTGGCGATTTTTTGTGCTTTGCGGGAACTAATTTTTGCGATTAGGACGGACTGGTTTTTCTTGCTGGGGATTAATCAGGGGCACCCAACGCGAATATAATTTAAAACCACTTAAACATACCATTGTTAAACGTATTTTAGTATTTAAACGGTAGATATAGGCATACTTTTATCCCCTAAAAATTTTTCATCTGTTCGGATTTCTTAGCCGAAAGTCTAGTGATCCGAAAATTATAGGGATCAAAACCTACCTTTTCGAAAATTTCAGCCAGAAAAAAGGCTCCCGAAAATTCTAGTTGACCTTTTAAAGGTAAAAATCCTTTAAAAATGGGCAAATATACCATTTTTTAGATGTTCGAAAATCCTAGGAGAGGCAGGCAAGCAACAAATTTTACAACAAATGTTCCGAAAATTCTAGATCTCAAATCTTCTTTCGAACAGATATTTTCCGAAAATTGTCGTTTGGTGCCCCTGATTAATTTTTGCTATTTCAGAAAGTACCCAGTACCCAGCATTGATAATATTTTTGTTTTTATTGAGTACGTGCAACAGAAATACATATTTTCAAACAATACTAAGTGTGCGTCAGTATTTGTTTCTGAAAAATGAAACCAGTTGTAATTGAACAGAGACGATTTCTTGGTACTGTATTCTTGTGAAGTGAATTTAAGTTAGGCGAATACAGAATTTCCTCTTATTTTTGCAAAGTAGTGACAGTCATGAAATCCTATCAATAAAATTCAGCAGTGAGTGAAATAGTGAAAATGACAAGAAGACAGAGGGGAAAAAATAATAACAGATCCGTCCACTGGGTTTAAAATTGTTTAGCCTGACATTTTATGAAAGCGAACGGGAATGACATATTTATTTCTTCTGGAGCGATGATTTTTTTTAAAAGCAGGTTTCAAATAAAAAATTTGCCAAAGCTTTAACTGAGAGCCATTACTAGATTCTATGGTACTTTTTCTCGTCCCTCTTTTTCTAGTTCTGTTTGGTCACATGAACCGTGATGTCAGCTTTTTAAGTTAAGATAACCATAATTAGGCTGTTGTGGACATGTCTCATATTATCTCAGTCGTGACAGATGAAACCTTTATTACACTTAGGTTCAAATGTTATTACGGATGGACCTTTATTACACTTGGGTCCAGTTATAACACTTGTGCCTTCCACAAGTTCCACGGTCAAGAAATCCGGATCCCTGAAGCGAATTTGGCTTAAGAGGCAACCAAACATTTAGCCTCCCTTGGTGGCATTTTCAGGGGAGTCAT